TTAACCTTTCATTGGTGTAGTTGTCGTTTCTCCATTTCGCTAACTGGCACAGATCTACGTCCGAAATTAGATAATGCCACAAACTTGCACGGGAGACGGTTAGCGCGGTCCACTCTTCGCTCGTTGCAAAACAGGAAGACCTTGATCCCATGTCGGAGCAGCACCAGCAGCAGCACCAGCAGCAGCAACGATACGAGAAACTCCTGCTCTGAGCTGCAGGACACTTTGTTGCTAGAGCTAGAGTGCAAATGATGAAATCATACTGTTGCAAATCTCGTCTGCCTTGGATCATCGTACTTGCATCATCATCACCATCATCGTCGCCGTCGTCCTAGTTGTTTTTTTTTATTCCCGGCCGCCGGTGGTGGGATGGCGTTGAAATGTCATACGGTCGGTTGGTTCGTTGTCACCGGTGTGCATCAGAGTGGAGTGGTAATTTCAAACTTTCGGCCTGTCGTACTTACCGTGCTACTCTAGTTGCGACATAGCCAAGCTACCGAGCTGTTGTAGGCTCTTCTGCCAGCGACTGCGAACTGTGCTAAATATCTACCACCGCAGCGCCACCATAGGACTCAAGAAGACATTATGCTGCTGGAGTTGTGCGGCAAGTGCGGAAGCGCTACACAGGGAAAAGCATGGAACAGGACTTAGCGCAACTGTGCAATCATACTTCAATGCAATGGATGGTGTATGGATGCTGCCCGTGCTGCTACTGCTGCCTGCTAGTTTCTATGCCTTCTGGGTTGTTTGAGAACTCATCCGAGAGAAGAAGGATGAGAGCACTGGATGACGGTTCTGATGTTTGAATTACATCAGCGTTGCTGGATATTGAGCACAGGGGCACCGAGCTTTAGACAGGTGACTATTTATTTACGATTTAGCTAAAGCTTACGATAATGTTTATCTGGTGTGTACGGTCGCGTGTAGGATACAATACAAATCGTTCAAATTATTATTATAATAGATTTATTTCAGATATTGTATTGTTAATCTCTAAGATTCGTCAAGTTAACAAAGCAATTTGAATGTTGGATAAGAGTAAGAATGAGTTTTTCAACAGACGGCTAGAGTTATTTGCAAATTTTAAATTAAACCGGAATGAGCTGATGCCAGTGCACGCCTGTGCCAGTAGCTGGTCTGACTTAACTGGAGGATGAAATTCACACGAGGAAACTGACACACAAGCATAGTGTTTTATATAGTGCTGCTGCTGATGTTCCTCGAGCCAAGAGCGGCAAACGATGGCTCAGCGAACGTATGCAGACATTTCAAGCATCGCATTGGTTGTCGGTATTGCTGGTGGAGGTGAAGCTTCTGATCCGGCTTGTACGGTGCAGAAAATGATGGAATTGGTGCCACCATCGCCAGCGTCGTCATCATCGTCCGGACGGAGCAAAGTGAGGGAGGAACTTTAGATCAGACACACAGTCAGTATACCACCTACCGCACTCGTGTGCTCTTTCGCTCTTTCTCGCTGGCTTGCTTCTGGTGCACTTGACAAAGTATTCTATGGCTATACTTGTTTGTGCTTTGCCCCACGTTTTCCGCAGCTAAACCATGGAGGATGCACGCCTGACGTCGACGACACGGTACGATAAAACTGAGGAGCTTGAATCTGCTGGAAAGTTGATGGTACTTGAATGGCTGTGGTGGTAAAAAATAATATCAATAATAACAGCAGCACAGCATATCGTCCGCCAGGAGGCGTTGGATGGGTGGTGATGGCACAGTGGGGCACCAAGGATGAGCGTTGACGATGATGATGACAGGAGGAAATTTTCATCGGTAGCGGATACGTGTACACGACCAATGAGACTAAATCATAAAAAGAGTAAGTTTTACTCAGTATTATGGGAAATTAAAAAAAAAACTGGTCACTCTGTGCTGAATATCCTGCCTTTTTTTTTTAAATTCTCAACAACTGAGTAAAATCAACTCTCACTCTCTGAGTTCGTATCATTAGTCGTGTATTATGGCATAAGGTCGGCTGGTTTAGCAAAGGATCGACTGAACTTGTCGTTTGCTGGTGGTTGGAGGAACCCTTTTGGCGTTGTCTCACTCTACGCTGCGCTGGGGGTATTTAAGCATTTGCTGTCGATAGGACATGGGACACGCCAAATTTTGGAAATTAGCTGGTTGTAATTTCATCATTACATCAAAATTATCATCAAATTTGTTTGCACAAGTATTTATTTGTAATTACTATTAATATGAATATGAGCATGATTGACCATCCACGGTTGCTACATCGTTATTGCCAGATCACCTGTAATTACACAGAGATGTAACAGATGATGCTTGGGACTAGTATTGATCCTCAATGTGCAAAATCTGATGATCTTATACGTTACAAAAGGTAATACCAGCGTCTGCACGGCCGATGGGAGTAACTTGGTACCTGAGTCTAATTCAACTCAAACTTGCAACAGGAGTGGTGTGTTTATGAAAAAAATGATGCTGTGATCAGAGGTGGCAAATGTATATTTTTTTGCAAATCCATCGTCCAGAGCAAAACAAAACAGCCAGCACACGGGTGGTCGTGTATAATTTACATTTCTAGTAAACAGCGGAGATAGAGCTTAGGATTTTTTTTTTAACATCTATGCTTATGAGTGGTTAGTATTCATTCTTGTAATTTAATTCCATGTAATAAACATCAAATTAATGCAGTAGTTAGTCAGAAATCAGCAAAATTCTACATGGCATAAATTTTTTGCTGTTCTTGGATGCTTCTTTGTGTGAAAATGTTTTTTCGCCTACAGCAAACAGTTTAGAAATGTCATGAAATTTTCCCCACTTGTCAGTTTGTTTGTGTGTGTCTTCACTATGGTCATTACGAAAAATATCAAATGTTAAGGAAAAATGTTAAAACCCAGTACTCGTGCCACCACTGGCTGTGATCGCGATCAAATGTACTATATTAGGACTTGTTACTTGACGTATTAGAGAGAATGTCCGGGAGTGGTAAAATGGTATGGAAGAAACATTAATCATAATTGTTGTGTGACTGTTAGGATTGGCTGAAGGAATAATGTGTGGAAATAACCTGTTGGTCAAAATATCTTGTGTTCAAGTTTCGATTCCACCAGCGTGATCGTGTTTGATAAAGTTTACTGTAGCTTGGAGCCAGAAAATTTCGAGAAGCGTGGGAATAATTGATGGTTTTTATTTTATCCATTTCTGGTCCAATTGAATTCAAATGTAGTGCAGTTTGAATTCATTGTTTATGAATCCGCATCATGGGACATCTATCATGGATTGATTTGGTGAGGTTTTTTCAGTTAACAATTTTCTAATATTTACATGTATTATCATTGTGTACATGTATCATAGTGTCCATTAACGTCTTCAATGCAAATTCCCATTGAACGCGTTAACGCTGACAACCCTGTTTATGTTGAAAAGTAATTCGGTTTTTATGGAGAAAAATTAGATACCGCAATCGCGAGGCTTGACTCTTCACTTATTTTTTTTTTCATTGTGTTAGGAAAACTTGACTTTTATTAGTTACATAGTTATTAAACCATCCCATAAATGTCACCACTTCAGTACCAACATTTGAAAGGGGTGTAATTGATTTAGTAAACAATGACTTTAGCCGTCGATTTCTCGCAAATAAAAGCTCACTCCTCCAAATCAACAATGTTAACTGGTAGAGAAAACATTCCTCTACCTGTTGGTGTCATTAATTTTCATGCGTGAGATTTTATTCGTGAGAAATCGACGGTTGAAGATATTGTTTACAAATTCTACGCTCCTTTGAAATGTTGGCACGAGCTTGTGCAAATATAATTGTCACTTTTATTATGTATCTACTGTAACGTGCTGTTCTAAAAATAAACAATAAATATATACACGGAACCGAAAAATTAACCAAAATTAAGCTCTTTTCACTCATTTCCCATGTTCCGTTCAATAAGCTAATTTTCAGTAAACCGCTTATAGTAGTTTACATTACAGTCAAATTTTGACTACGGCAAAAATAATTACTTATTCGTGAGTATTTTCTACCTAAAACTAAGTTCAATTGTCTCAAATTTGAGAATATCTCATATACTCACTAGCACATAGCTTATTGAACGATAGTCATGAGAAAATCGAATCTCTCGTTCCGTTTTTGACAACAACAAAAAGTGAGAGTGGGATACAAAACTCAAAATTACCCAAAAATAAGTAAAAACAACTTAAATTTAGGGTATTTTTTTCTCTGCGTATAGTTTAATGCCTCCGCCATGGCAGGACAGCCAATATATCGGTCTCTTTTAATTTATCACACAACGTAGAAAATCGGGTCCTACCGTGCGTGATGGTGCCGTTACCAAGATAGTGCGAACCGTTTTAAAGTAGCCATCTAGCAGAGTATCCCGCTCGGCTCCAGTTGATCCTCTGATACTGCTGTAAACGGCTCAGTATTTGGCTGGAAGCTGATGGTTATTCATCGAACAAGTGCTTACGTTGGATATCCACCAGACTGCGTGTTTGCTACAAACAATAGTGCACTGCTTCTTCTTCAGTTACCAACAAGAAGCGAGTCACTTGTTTTTTCATCACATTTTCTAAAGAATACATACATTGCCGATAGTAATCACCAGCATACTTATTATAGAAGCCATCGAATTAAATTAATACCGTTGGTTTTTACGGGCCGGTATATTCGTGCAAGTGACGATTACCGTCTTTACCCTAAGCATAACAAAGTTATTGTTGCCGTAATAAAACCCCCTTGCACTAATTTTCGAGAGCTATATTTTTATCAGCTTCAAAGCTACAATTAATAGGATTAATTAGAACAGAAATGGTAGATTTAGGACAAGTAACTTACAATTTAGTGCTTTAATGGTTAGCAATATGTATATAACTTTAATCCACGGAAAAATAGATTTAAGGTTTATAGGAAATTCAACTAATTAAATACAAATATCACTCCACTAAAACGCCGTAGTCATCCGAGGTCGTGCAGGGTTTTCGTTTGACAGCTCGACCGTCCTGAGCTCGGTTGATCATCGGTGACAGCGGGTGACGTTTCTGTTGGACGCGTCGCCTTCAGCGACCGGGTTACCAGATTCACCACCCCTGTGGTAAATTGGTAGACTTGCGGCAACATCCTCCGCCGGGTGCATCTTGCCATCGACCAAGACTGCACGGGTTTCTCCAACATCCAGCAAGGCGATCTTGGTAACCGGTCTTCGTACACTACCTCCCTTAGTCCGCACGATAGCTTGACGCACTCTTCCATCAGGTCCTCTAATAGCTTGCTCCACACGTCCTCTGGTCCACTCGCTTCGTCTGCCGTCATCGGTAATGAGAACCAAGTCACCATCCTTGATCTCTCTCGCAGCTTCTTCGAACCACTTCGGTTGCCGGCGAATAACTGGCAGATATTCTTTAAGCCACCGTTTCCAGAAGATGTCCAGTTGCTGTTGTATCTCTACCCACGTCTTCTGAAGGTTCCGCTGCTGGTAGCGAATGTCCCGGCCCGGTTCCTTGATACCGCTCGAACTCCCGAGCAAGAAATGGTTCGGTGTTAGTGCCTCAGATTCCTCCGAGTCTAACGGCAGATACGTCAAAGGCCTAGCATTGACTACGCTCTCAGCCTCCACAACCAAAGTCCCAAGTCCTTCCTCGTCAAGTTTCCCATCCCCGTAAGCTTCACCCATCGCGGCTTTCACTGACTGGACCATCCTTTCCCAGGCACCGCCCATGTGTGGAGCACCTGGCGGAATGAAGAGCCATTTGCACTTCGAGCTGGTGAAGGTGGCGGATAGTCCCTGCTCAATTTGTTCCCGCAGAAGTCGTTCGGCGCCTTGAAAATTGGTCCCGTTATCGCTGTAGAATTCTACTGGTGCTCCGCGACGGCCGATGAACCTTCGGACGGCGGAAACGCATGATGAAGTCGTCAGGCTGTGCACAACTTCCAGATGGACCGCGCGCACGGTGAGACAAGTGAAAAGTGCGATCCACCTCTTCACGCTCGCTCTTCCTTGCTTCACCAACAACGGACCGAAATAATCCAATCCGACGAAACTAAATGGACGGCTGCAGGCTGCAAGACGGGCCGCTGGAAGTGGAGCCATCGGAGGGATGTACGGCCGCGCTCGGCGAAGTATGCAGTACCTACACTCACGGCTGCACCTTCGCACCACTGTTCGCAATCGAGGGATTTCAAAATGCTGACGGATTTCATTGACTACAGTTTCCGGGTTGGCATGTTTATACTTCCGGTGGTACTCATCCACCACGAGCGTAGTCACTTCACTCTTCCGGGGAAGAATCACTGGATGCCGCAGATTGTACGATGCATGTTTTGCTGCTCCGATGCGTCCGCTCTGTCGCATTACTCCGTCTTCGTCCAACGCCGGTACTAGTTGATACAGCGAACTGCTTTTCGGGATCGGTTGTGCTTCACCTTCCGCAGCAGACTTGTTCTTCGTGAGAATTGTCATCTCGTCCGGAAACACTTGCCACTGCACCTGCTTCATGATCACCGCTTCCGCTGCCTGGAGCTCCTCTTGTTGCAATTCGCCACACATTTTGCGCCGCTTTCCGTTGATGTTGTTCATGAAACGTAGCACATAAGCTACCGTGCGATGTAGCCTCTCCCACTTCGGGAACCTTTCAAACTGAATGACTGGCTCATACGGAAACTGGAAAAGAACACGACGTATCTCCTCAGTCTCGATGGAAGATAACTCTGGTGGAGTTGGCCAGTCGTCTTCCGGGTACCTCAGGAACTGTGGTCCAGCAAACCAGCGGCTATCGGTGCTGAAATACGGTCCTTTGCCCCACTTAGTCCCCTCGTCAGCCGGGTTGGACAACGATGGAACGTATCTCCATTCATCTACGCTGGTAGTCTCCAGAATTTCTCCTACTCTGTGGGCAACGAAGGGGCGGTAGTTGCGTGGATCCGACCTGATCCAAGAAAGCGCCGTAGTGTTGTCCGTCCACAGATAGCGCTTCGTGATCGGGATGGTGTGGTTTTCCTGAACAAATTTCAACATCCGTGTTCCAAGTACGCACCCTTGTAGCTCAAGCCTGGGAATGGACATTGGCTTCAGAGGAGCCACCTTCGCCTTTGCTGCCACTAAAGAACACTGTCCGTTACCCTCAGAATCCATCACGCGTAGATACACGACGCAGCAATACGCCGCAGGGCTTGCGCCAACGAAAACGTGCAGCTGTGCATTCTCATAGGTGGAACTCGTCGCTGCTTCGAAGTAGCATCTCGGGATACGAACCGTTGAAATAAACTGGATCATTTGCACCCATTCCCGCCAGCGATTCAGCTCAGCGTCCTTGATATTCTCATCCCAGTTGATTCCGGTCCGCCATAGCTCCTGAATTAGAACCTTTCCGTGAATGAGGACCGTCGCCAGTAATCCTAGCGGGTCGAACAACGTCATCACACAGCGCAGTACTTGCCGTTTTGTAGGCCGAGTGGAAGTCTCGATAAGCGTGCGCACTTCCTCGTTCATCTGCGTTGAGAAGCATAGTTCGTCGGTTGCGGGCATCCACAGCATTCCGAGAACCCTCTCAGTGTGCTCCTTGTCAACCAGGTTGATATTCTTGTTTCTATCGATCCCTGGCTCTCCCAGGAACTCCAGCACTGCATCGCTGTTGGCATTCCAGTTCCTCAGAACGAAGCCACCGTTGCGATGAACTAAGCGCACTTCTGCAGCAATCTGCTTGGCTTCTTCTACATCCCCGAAGCTGTCGAGATAGTCGTCAACGTAGTGGTTGTCTACTATCCGTTGAGCAGCACGAGGATACTGCTGCGAGTGCTCCTTGGCGTTTAAGTTCTTTACGAACTGCGCTGAAGCCGGTGAGCAGGTTGCTCCGAATGTAGCTACGTCCATAACGTAGACTATGGGAGGCAGTGTGGGATCGAAGCGAAATAGGAATCTTAATGACTGCTTATCGCGTGCTATCATCAAAATCTGATGGAACATCTCTGCGATGTCTGCGCTAACCGCAATGTGGAACTGCCGGAAGCGGAATAGAACAGCAGGAAGAAAGGTCAACTGGTCGGGTCCCTTCAACAGATGGCTGTTCAACGACAACCCGTCCACCTTGGCAGCAGCGTCCCAGATAATGCGCACCTTTTCGGGCTTCTTCGGGTTCGTTACTGCTCCCAACGGAAGGTACCACACCCTTCTTGGGTCAGCTCTCTCCAGTTCTGCATCCGACGCAACGTGTGCGTAGCCCTTGATCACGTAATCCCGAACTTGCTGCTGTATTTTCTGTTTCAGTGTTGAATCTCGCTCCATACGACGCTCCAAACATTTCATTCGGCTCAGCGCCATAGGATAGCTTTCCGGTAACTCGACGTGATCCTTCCGCCACAGCAGTCCGGTTTCGTATCTGTCTCCAACTCGCCGGGTCGTTTGCTCCAGTAGCTCCTGCGCTCGTTGATCCTCGGCCGAGAGAATGGGGTTGGCCGCTCCTACTTCGTCTACGGCGAAGAATTGCTTTACCGTTTCATGGAGCTCTTCGTTTTTCGTACACTCGCACACGTGAAAACTGTACGATTCCTGCTCCAGCTGCTGCTGCTGGCCGTAAACGCACCAGCCAAGCCTGGTTTTGGCTGCAACAGGTCCGGATCCATCTCCTTCTCTGACCTTCAGTGGTAGGGCCAACCGCAGATTATCGAGCCCTATCAGAATCCTAGGAGTAGCATCCTGGTAGCTCTTCAATGGTAGATGCTTCAAATGTTTGAAGCGCTCCGCTGCATTCTCCAAATGGAAGCTTTGTGTCGGTAGATTCAAGCATTCGACCGTTCGCGCTCCAACGATAGTGAACTTCCGTTCCTTACCTTCACCAGAGATCGAAATGGAAACACTCTGTGAAGATTTCTCCGTACGGGAGGTGTTTGCCGTCCATCGCAGGCAGAGAGGTTGTGGTCTTCCGGTTATCCCAAGCTGGTTCACTAGCTCCCCTTCGATCAACGTCAATGAGGACCCTTCATCTAGAAAGGCAAAGGTATTTACCTGGCCGCTATTCCCATAGAGAGTCACGGGAACTATACTGAAGAGAACACTCGAAGTAAGCAGACGATGAGTATGATTATCCGCTACCTGCGTGACAGCACTCGATGACCTTTGCGTTGAATGTAGGAGAGGATGGTGCCTATACTGACACCCGTCGATGCCGCAGCGTGTAATGACTCGGCATGACCGCCTGCCATGCCTAAACAGGCAGTTTTGGCAGACGCCCAACGAACGAATTTTCCGCCAACGATTGTCGATACTGAGAGCTTTGAACTCCCCACAATCTCGAATACGATGTCCAAATTTACTACAGTTCACGCATTCGATCTTGTCAACCGGCTTCTGTACAGCTGCTTCCAACGACCCTTCGACGGTGGACGCGTGTTGGTTGACGAATCCCTTCCGCTTTGCTTTTTCCTTTCCCTGCTCTCTTCCGTGACATCTGTTCCCGTCCGACTCGAACGAAAGTACACTCGTAGCATCCTCGACGACTTGCTGCATGTAAGCACAGAACGTTCTCAGGTCTACGATGCCCGCAAAACATCGTCTATACCCAGCCCACATCATCTTCTGGTCCGCTGGCAGTTTAGCTACCAGTTCCTGCAGAAGTGTAGGATTAGACAGGTGACTGAGTTCGTTCGCCGCCTCGATGTGATCGCACAGTGCCTGTATAGCGGTCCCATAATGGATGAGCCCCTCTAATCGATCCGATCTTGGTGCTGGAATCGATCGAACTTTCTGGAGCAGAGCGTTGATCAGGAGTTCCGGACGTCCGTAGCGCATCTGCAGTGCCTCGATGACCTGTGGAACGGTGGAAGGTATCACAAGTCTGCTCCTGACACTCTCGAGCGCACTGCCCTTCAGGCAACGTTGTAGCCGGATCATGTTTTCGCCATCCGTATAGCCGCAAGCTTCGGTCGTGTAGTTGTAGCTGGAGATAAATATAGGCCATTCGGCTGGGTCCCCGGTGAACGTAGGAAGATCCCTAGCTAAGGACTGACGGGCTACAAGCTGCTGCGACGTGGGACCCAATTGCACATTCACGGGGGGATTTCTAAGGGGATTTCGTAGGGGGAAAACTTGACGGTTGGACCCATTCATGTAAGGAAGGCGATCGTTAATGTTTGAGAGTGGGTTTGTACTTTGCGGTGGCACAAACTGAGGAAATGGGTGGTTGTTTTGGTTGGTTGTGGGAGGACTTATGTCAAATAAACCAGGATTGCCTTTATTTTGAGCGTGAAGAGGGGCCTGACGCTTACCTGCTTGTTCCGGGTTAGGATACGTTTTAGGAATAGCACCTGTATCCCGGTGTTCATCACGTGTCATCCTTCTCGGTTCGGGTACCCACAGCGGTGGCGCTTGCGGTACCGTGTTCGCTGGCTGCTGACGGAAAGCTTCTTCCATCCGCTTCATGCATTGCTCCAACTGTGCTCGCAATTCAGCCACTTCGTTACGCGACTGCGACCGATCGCGAGATTTCGCTCTCCCCTGGGTTTGATTCGGGTCACCGGTGTTGGAGCCTTGTGGTTGAACGCCGTGATCGATTGGCGAGGCAGCTGGTGCTGGATTTCCGCCCACCGCGCCTTCTTCCGTACCGTCACGGGACGACTCCTCTACCCATCGACGCACTCGCCGATTATGTGCCTGACTACTTACTTGGCTCTTCTGACTCCGGGTCTCCTCGGCCGCTCTGGCCTTATCCAGCAGTTTTTGTTGCTGCTTTAAAAATTTCATCTGCAGCTTCAAATCCGCCTGTTGCCGCTCGAGGTCTTGCTGTCGCTTCAGTCGTTCGAGCTCGTGAGCGACAGTCGATCCGCTTTTGTTGGATTTGCTGCTTCTTGCCGACACGCTGGGGGCAGCTTCGCACTTGGTGCATATCCATGCCCGTTCGCTAATCGATGAATCGACGTCGGCACATGCGAAATGCCACCAGCAATCACAGGTGTCGCATTGCACGAAGTTGGCCGGCAAATCGGACTTGCTGCACGCCACACAACTAACCTCTTTATCTGCAGGCATACGTGGAGGATCCGGGGGGTTCGGCATCGTTCAAGGTAAATTCTTTGAAGAATTGTTGCCGTAATAAAACCCCCTTGCACTAATTTTCGAGAGCTATATTTTTATCAGCTTCAAAGCTACAATTAATAGGATTAATTAGAACAGAAATGGTAGATTTAGGACAAGTAACTTACAATTTAGTGCTTTAATGGTTAGCAATATGTATATAACTTTAATCCACGGAAAAATAGATTTAAGGTTTATAGGAAATTCAACTAATTAAATACAAATATCACTCCACTAAAACGCCGTAGTCATCCGAGGTCGTGCAGGGTTTTCGTTTGACAGCTCGACCGTCCTGAGCTCGGTTGATCATCGGTGACAGCGGGTGACGTTTCTGTTGGACGCGTCGCCTTCAGCGACCGGGTTACCAGATTCACCACCCCTGTGGTAAATTGGTAGACTTGCGGCAACAGTTATTAAACCACATGGTAAGAAAAAAGTACCCAAAATTGAGTTCCTTTCACTCATCACGTGGCTTCCGTGGGTCTAGGTAAAATTAAGTTAAAGAAGAAAACTCAATTTTGAGTAATCCTGATCATGAATCCACGTTGACCAAGTTGACAAAAAAATTATAAAACGGAGCAGACTGGAACCGAACCATAGACGTTGAGATTACGGGGCCCGTGTGTTGACCGCTCGTTTATCAACGCTTGTGGAAATGGAATGGTTGAAGGCGCATAAGTGCAACCTCAATAAAAATAAACTTATATTTGAGTTCATTTATTATTACTCAATAGATGAGTAAATTTTAACCAACGCCGCTTTTCTGATTCACTCAACGGCGGACCTTAAAATGATAGAATCCAACGTTGAGTTTTTTTTAACTTAATTTTGAGTATTGTTTTCTTACTGCAGTTCATAGGTGTCACCAATTGTGCATCTATAATTAGGCCGTATGAATAAAAAGAGTTTACTTTACTTTCCAGTGCTTTTCTTACGGGAAAAGTAAAGTAATCGCTTTTATTCATACGACCTATTGTCACTTTTATTATGTATCTACTGTAATGTGCTGTTCTTGTATGAAAAAACAAACAATAAATATATATAGTTTAATGCCGCCGCCATGGCAGGATGGCCAATAAATCGGTCTCTTTCAATTTATCCCACAACGTAAAAATAGGGTCCTATCGTACGAAAAAAAAAATCTGCAGACAGACCCTAGGAACTCCAGTGGTACCAAGATTTATGTAATTCATCAAGAAATTGTTAAGCTATGTCATTGCAAACTTGCCGTTACACGTTTTCCGGAGGCTTCGTAGTCGGTGTAAAGTTTTTTAACCACTGTGTTCAGAGTGTTATAAAGAATCATAAATTTAATATCCCCCCATCTGAAACGTTGAATATACCTGATGTAAACTTTTCATGATGTCGTATCTGGATGAAACGTACACTGGCAGCCAAATTTATGTTGCTATAATGCAAAAGGTTCACACATATTCCTAGCATCAAAAAATTAATTCGATTCAGAATTTTGCACTTGGTAATGATAATGGTGAGATTTGTGAAATAAGCTGGCCTCTTTTTTCTTATGCACACTTAGAAATACCTAATCATACACGTGACGGAATCCATATTTGACATAAAAGATGAGACGTAAACAAACATGTCATGTAAAATTAAGTGCTTCGAGACTGAAAAGTTCGAAATTACGTTTGATTGAGCTGACTTTCACTATGACTTTCATTATGACTCAATTTTATGTTAAAATTGACGTTCGTATATGTCAGTCTCAGAGTACCTTAATTTACATTAATTTTTCTAAGTGTGTTGTTGAGAATCCCACAATTATTTACAGATCCAAAATAGTATGACCATATTTTTTCGTGCGTCACTTGTGCTTTAGGCAGGATTGATTCCTTGTTTCCAGCATTATATATGGTTTCAAACGACGACCGACGACACCCGGAATACGTGAAGAGTAACTGTGATCATTTTTCCAGCTGGCTGCTGTGGTGGCAAATGTTCCACAATGCGCATACAAAGACGGCAGATTCCTCAGTCGTGGGTGGGCGTCATGTGTGGGTTGTCACAGAGTTTTGCCGTTGTGCCTTCCTGCGACTCGGTATCAAATCATCTTCCTACTGGCTGTAGCGGGACAGCTTTCCTGACTCACACAGGACGTTTTCCGTTGTCGTCGGAGCCCTCGTTACGCTTTGGTTCTGCTTCGCAACGACGATGACAACGGATGAATGAGTGCGGGTGATGGTTAAATGTAAGCGTTTAGTTAATTATGGGGGGTCAAATAGCTAGAATATTGTTTCCAAATGGGATGCGATATGATGTTCACTACGGGAACGATGCGATGTATCCTGGCGCATGGAAGCGCAAATGTTGCAAATAGCCCATCGTCCCATTTGCTGACGCTGATACCACTGGAACAGACCATGGCTCGTAACGGAATGCTCATTTAAATTGGACGCTCACGATGGATAGAGATGCAGTAGGTACCTACTCACAGTATTTACATTTTTGCAGATGGTAAGACCATTCTGGACGGTAGTGACGAGTCCGTAGAGACTACAATGAATGCGTGGTCGAAGGAAAAATGTAATATTCGATGTGATGTGGTGCTTATGTTTCCAGTATACCAGCATATGATTAGATTGTTCTAAAATTGCAATTTTCGTTTCCTCTGGTGAAATGAAAATGAACGTTACAACTTATTATGGAGCATACAATTGCTGCCATCGGTGATTGTCTTGTGGCAGCAATTGATAAATTTTCTTGAAAAAGGCTATTTTAATGCTTATGTGTGGCACAGTAGTTCCAAAGTATTCTATAGGAGGAAAACATTGCTTTTGACTAAACCAATAATTTTAGGTAAATAATGTCTTCGGGACAGTTTTTTTCTCCTTAATAAAGTTAAAAGAATTAAAAATTTGTTGTAACCAATATTTTGATGTGATTGAAGTTAGTGAGATTCATATGGTTTGAGAGTTCTATATATCAACTTTCTAGTTATTTTAAATAAACCAGCACAATGTTCAACGTAGTTGCAAAACAATTTATTTGAAGCAAATTTGCTGAAGATTAGGGATTAGGAATCAACCACCCCTCCTCTCAAGAAACTTAAAGTTAGGGATAATATTCTTTGAACTGTCGAGATGTTCATTGACGCTACTTAGAATGACCCATACTAATAGCTCGATAGTAGGCTGATTAGTCGGTAGTTTTCAGGCTCAGTTACGAATTTATTTGACGGAAGCTGAGGCAGAAGCGAAACAGCAACTTCAGGAATATCCGGAAACACATTTTCACGAGCTTGAACACAAATTTTTCGGGGGCTGCAGCTACGAGGTCCACATCAATATTCAATGGTTGGTTTGAATTTTTCACAGCTCTTTGCTCATTTTTGGTCCCTTTTATTTGCCGCTGAGAAGCTGTTCCGAATCCAAGTAGAACCTCCACGAGGCGTCCCATCAATCGTTCCATCATTAGTTCCATCATTCGTTGAGTCGCAGCATTGAACCTGACTATTGGCCACGAAATGGCTCGCCAATGCACATCAAAAATCGACTACATACATCCGAACATTTGTTTATCACAAATCGAAGGAAGACATTCCGCGCAACTACCATAAACCGGACTAGTTCATGTTGATCTTCGTCAAGGTTCGTCTACAATTTGGACTTCTACATCAACACATGTCAGGCAGTCTTCAGGTTCAATTGGCGTAACTTGGTGAGTTCGTTCCATTTTGTAAATTTTTATCTTTCAATCGTTAACGGCGCCGGTGGTGTAGTGGTAAGCGTGATAACCTCTCACCCCAGCAGGCCTGGGTTCAATCTCAGTCGGCGCCGCCGGGATGTTCTGAGGCATAACATCTCTGATCACGCCTTCCTTCGGATGGGAAGTAAAGCCGTTGGTCCCCGGTTCATGAGTTGATGGGTCGATAGGTAGGGTCCAGGTGTGGGAGCTGCCTTCCTGGCACGTCGGTAGCATTGGTGCTCAGCACGGAAAACAAGATCGACGGAAAAAACAAACCAAAGAAAAAAAAATGACTTGATAATAGTGACAAGACTCGGGTAGTGACCACCGCGTCGTTATGCATTTCTATATTGTTTATTTAAATCAAAAATATTGTTTATGTTCATAGATTTCACATAATCCTTTTCCCTTTGTCCTTCTCCTTTTCCATTCCCTCTTCTCTTTTCAGAAAGCGAGTAATGGCACTATAGCCATAAGTCATAAAAGGCTAGGACAACCGTCAGAAGGAGCATCACTTAACCTTTCTAGCTTTGATGCTTCCAACGACCAACCAATCATATAATTACCAAAATCGGAACGAATTTGTCCACGTTTCAACCATTTATTGGATTCTGAAGCATCGTGTTTAAATCTTCGGTTTTAACAGGCCCGATGTTTTCTGAATCATCTTGCCCCTTAAATGTTGCACAGTAGGCCTGGCCATTTTGATATATGTGACGCATCTTCGATGTGAAACATATATCAAACAGACAACACAAATGATGTAGGTATATATATATATCATTTTCCATGATGCTTTCAAGAACTGGCTGTGTTAGTGCTAGATTATATTAGATTAGAGAGAAGTTGATGCGGCGGAGAGTAAAATTTCGTTGAAAAATTCGATAGTCTGTCCATAGCCAACTGGGTGGTCAGAGGAGAAGTGAAGTCAATTAATTCGTTAGCATGATCATGGAATCGACATTATCATAGCATCCGTATTCAAGCCTTACTTCCACAAACGGTTCATTCGTTTCGATGCTGAAGACCCCCAAGAAATGGTCCGAAGACAACTCGGAAATCACATAAGGTCTCATCATAGCAACCAGATTGTTCGACAATACCAAATCAAAAGTAAATGGATAGCGTTGCCGGTGGTGTAGTGGTGAGCATGATTACCTCTCACCCCAGCAGGCCTGGGTTCAATCCCAGTCGGCGCCGCCGGGATGTTCTGAGGCATAACATCTCTGATCACGCCATAAAGTAAGCCGTTGGTCCCCGGTTCATGAGTAGATGGG